GCTAAAGACACACCTCACACACCAAGTCGGGAATACGCTCCCGGGGCACAGTCCCTGGGGAAATTTTAACGATATGTTGTTGTTCTTGCTAGGTATCAAGTCGAGAATACGCAGATGGCATCACACTCGGATCTCCGATCCGGATCCAAGACTCCAAAACCCGAAGACTTGGTGAGATGTCACAATAATTGTAATTATGGGTTAAATAAATCCCATCACTATATGATTATATACATTAACATTTGTAAATAATGTTTCGAAGAGCACATCATCTACATTGTTTTTCTTGTGCATATAGCTTTCAAATAGACAAAAATGGTTCTTATTTGAGAATTTTTTTTACAGAAATAGTACATATTTTATATTCTTTATTTTTCGAATTCAAATAAATTAAACCCTACTCAATCTTAATATTTTCATTTGTTTTTATGTTTTCTAAAGCTTAGTTTTGATAAATATTTTTTTTCCAACTTCTTTTACATTTTTTTTAAACTGTGTTTTTTTTTAATTTGTTTTTACAAAATCAATTTTTTACTGAATTACTATTTGTACATATTTGTTTTTATGTATAATTTTATTTATAACTTTCTTTTATAAAAATTTTGTTTTTGAAATTCGTATATTTACATATTTGTTTTCATGTATGTGGGTTGTGAAAACATATAAATATTAGTTTATTTTAAATATTCGTTTTCACAAACCAATATACATTTTTATTTATAATCATTTGTAATTATATAGTAAATTATGTCTTGTTATTGTTAGTGGGGTTTTAAAATTACAATGCTATAATTATATATGAGCGTGTTTGGAAAAAGTAGTTGTTAACTGATAGCTGGTAGTGGGTAGCGGGTAGTTGGTAGCTGTAAGTTGTAGCTTTATTTGTTATATGAGTGTAAGAAAAAATAGTAGCTGAAAGCTTTTGAAATATATAAAATTACACAAAAGGACAATTGTTTAAAAAAATAAACATATAATTGTATTTTTAAGATCAATTTTGGAAATTGATTTAAAAAGCTCAATAGCGTTTTGTTAAACGCTACATGAAGTAGCTTTTAGATTTGAAATGTTTTGTTTAAACTAAAAGTTAAATATTCATACCGTCAAATGAAGTTTTTTGTTTAAACCGAAACATTTTGTAACTCCCAAACATTCCGTGTCAAATATGTTCTATGTGTTTTGTCGTTGTGTGTACGACTTTGTTGTGTATGTGTGTATGTATGTATGGTGGGTCAGATTTAACATATTATCAAATAATAAGATCTAACCATAGAACCAAATGAAAATGGCCAATATTCATTTATGAACATATGTCATTTTCATGTTCATATATAAACATATGTTCGTAAATGAATATTGGTCATTTTTATGTGGTTCAGATATATTATTTGATTTTGTGTTGAACCTTACTTTGTGTATGACTATTTATGTGTGTGGCAAAAACAAAAAACACATTGTTATTTCAGTTTTTGCCATGTACATTATATCTCTCTCCCCAACATATTCAACTTTCATAAAATTTTTTTATTTTAAACTCTTGTCGCAACATACAATCGTTATATATAATCGTAGACAATTAAATAATATATATATATATATATATATATATATAATACATATCATATATTTTTAACCATTTAGTATAATAGATTTAAAATTTTATTTATGATGTACTAAAAAGGGTGTTTCCTATATAAAAGACCAACTTTACTTTAAATAATAGAAGAGTTATATTATATTAAATGGTTAAAGTTAGATAACACAAAGTAAGAAAGTTATAAATAATGTTGATATGTTTTTAGTGTGTAATGTGTATGGTATAAGATTGAATGGTGAAGTTTGGACGGGCCAAGAGAGGGCCTACAATCATCGTACTCCACAACATAATGAGTCCTCCAGAAGCATGCCCAACCACAAAAATGTCAAAAAGATGGAAGAACGAGGGTTGATGCCAGTAATCTTTGCTTTTACCTCACAAAAGTTGACAGTAAATCCAGATTTTCTACGAGTAGATGTACAGTAGCAGTTGAATTATTCCCATTACGTAGTTGTGGTGTTGTTACTGTTGGTGTGTTGGTGTACGATTGGACCTTCTCATCTCAATCTCAATTTCAATCCCTTCAACAATAAATGCCAAGCTCACATCTGGCTTTCCTTCCACCGACGCTAATCTCTCTTGATTCCTCTGTGTGTGTGTGTGAAAATTGAAAAGAAAGAGAGACTGAATCGTCCGGTGCGGTGTTGGTGTTACAGCAAATTCTAGAACGTGATCTGAATCCCGATCGCCGGATTTACACACCATGTCTTCCGGCAGGTATATGGCTTACTCGCCTTCTCCGTCAGCCCCTCACTCTCCTCATATCGCCGGTCTTCGTTCCGCAGCCACCGCCCTCGTCGAGCAAGAGAAGTATGATGTTTTTCCCTTTTTATCTTCATAACTCCATGTTTTCACCTCGATCTCGATTTATGGTTACCACGAGTGTGTTTTGTTTCATGTTTTAAACGTTTCACATCTAAATCCTACGATTCCTGTTCACTTTCGTAATTCGACTGTTGGTTGTATCAGATGTGTTGATTTTTAAGAAAACTGATACAGAATTCGTAACAGATATCTCTCCGAGCTACTGTCTGAACGCAACAAACTCAGTCCATTTGTGCCTGTTCTTCCCCAATGTTACCGGCTGCTGAATCAGGGTGAGTTTGTTAAACTTGTGTTGTGTTGTATGAATTCAAAGCATCCTATTCTGTTTTTACCATCAGAAACAGTTGTATATATATATATATATATATATATATATATATATATATATATATATATATATATATATATATATATAAAAGATTAACAGAATCCAGAAATTGAAAGCATATCCTTTTGTATGTTTGTATAATGTTTTTTGTCCAGGTTCCAGAATATATATTTGTTGGTTTGATAGGGGACGCATTGGTATTGAAACTGACAGTGTCTGTCTGTCCATTCCTGCTAACTAGTAGTAGTACTAGTGTTTGTTAACTGCTAACTGGTAACATGTTGTTGCAAAATTGACATTTTTGGAGCAGAAATACTGCGTGTAACCACTCTGTTGGGGAATGCATCCGTTTTAGATCAAAGTGGGCTTGAACATGCTTCAGGAGGAATGTTCTCAAATGCAGGAGCTAACATGAACATGAACAGATGGTCTTCACCAATCCAATCAGAAGTACGGATTACTAACCATTAACATAACCTTTTTACTTACTCTAATTTCTTACTGCTTTTTTACAACCTGACACACCACCATACATACAATACATCTTGGCTCTTGCTAACTTGTTTAACTGCTTGCTAACAAGTAACACCCACCATATACATACACAGATATAGTTTGTAAGTTGTAACATAACATCAACATGTGAGGATTTGTATATCAAGGAGATCATTGGTCATGTACTTTTAATGTATAAATCCTGCTTCTTATATTGCTTACACTTACAGATAGCCCGTTACATTTGAGCCACTCCACTCTGGATGCTTTTAAGGGCCTTGCTTGCTTGGACATGGGTTTGCTGTCTGCCATATACATACATATAAATATAAATATATGCTCTCAAATAGCATATATTATCAAGAATTGTTATGCTTCTTTGAAAATTTTATCATGCTTCTTTAATGGTGTAGAAGACACATTGGTAAATGGTTTTTTTGTTTAGATTCGTTTTTGAGAGAAAATGGGATTCTTTTGTGCAGATGTCAGCTTTACTGCAGCCATCATCTGCACAGAGTTGGCTTGGTTCACAGGGCAGTTCATCCAGTCTTGTAGTGAAGAGAACAATTAGGGTTGATATCCCTGTTGCTAGTTATCCTAATGTAAGTTTTCTACTTTTCTTTTAATTTATAATAATTCTTATTGATTAATATTATTATTTTAATTGATGTTGCAGTTTAATTTTGTGGGCCGCCTTCTTGGGCCGAGAGGGAACTCTTTGAAGCGAGTGGAAGCCAGTACTGATTGTCGTGTTTTGATCAGAGGACGTGGAAGTATCAAGGATCCAACAAAGGTGATACAATTAGCAACACATTTAATAGTAACGTGTTTGCTATTATATAAAAAAAATTTAAGTGCATTGCTATGATGGATTTAAATTAAGTATTTTCATGATCCTTATAGGAAGAGATGATGAGAGGAAAACCAGGTTTTGAGCACCTAAACGAGCCTCTTCACATACTCGTTGAAGCAGAGTTACCCGTTGACATAATAGACGCGCGTTTAATGCAAGCCCGTGAAATACTTGAAGATCTTCTTAGACCTGTGGTACCCTTTCTTTTTTAATCACATTATTATTAAATTTCAATTTCATTTTTTAATTCAAGAATTTTATTTAAAAAAAAAAAAAACATTCTTTTTGCAGGATGAAACACACGATTTTTATAAAAAGCAACAACTACGAGAGCTTGCAATGCTAAATGGGACCCTTCGTGAGGACACCTCTCAAATGTCCGGTTCAGTCTCCCCCTTCAATAATAGCCTTGGAATGAAGAGAGCAAAAACCAGAGGATGATTATGATGATGTCATCAATGACGTCATCAATTTCATGAGTTTGCTAACACAAACAGAGCATATGTTGCTGGCCTCCAATTGCCATCGGGGCACTGGATACTATTTGGATCCTGGTTTAAAAGTGTTGCTATATGATATGGGGTGTGTGTCTCTTCTATTTGGAGGAAACAAATGGTGTTCTCGAGAGTATTTATTGTAGTGAAAAAAAGACATTAAAACTTGTATTTTATTCGTTGTTTGTGTGTGTGTGTGTGTGTGTGTTTGTTTCTTATGAGAGAGTTTTGGTGAACTGAGAGTTGTTATTTATCTATATACATATTGGTTTGTAGTTTTGTAATTCTAGTTATGCCCTATTACTAGGGTTTTTGAACATTTTGAGTTCTTTTATGTTTCATGCGATACACATGAATATGGTTTCTAGAAAAACAACAAAGAAATAAACATTACAACAATCAAAATGTGTTCTTGAAAGATAAAGAAACAAGTTTTAACGTTCAAAACCTATTAACAAAAGGCATAAATAAATGAATCTTGATCCTTGCTCACTCGTTTATGTCTTCTTCTTCTTCTTCGTCTTCATCTTCGGCATCTTCAAGCCCAATCCATTTAGTGAAGGCGAAAAGGAACTCCTTGAAGTTGACCATTCCGTTTTTATCCCAATCCATTTCCTCTACAAACACACATCAAACAAATCGGGGCAAAGTTTAATCTGGTAAGTTGTATATGAGTGTATATCTTTTTTTATTTACTTAATGTAGAAAGAATGACTTAATAGAGAAAGTCAGGGAAAAGAGACATACCGAATCTTCTCATGGCTATGCGCCCAGAAGATCGCTCCCCGGAAGTAGTTTCATTTATTGCACCAACCATCTCGTCTTTGCTAACATAACCATCCTTATTTTTATCCAAGAACACAAATGAGTCAACCATGGTTTCAAAAGCCGTTTCTAGATCCGGGATCCCCATACGTGAATTCTACAAGTGTCAAAGAATGTAACAAGATGAACGAGAAATAGCAACTTACTTCTATTTATTTGTTTATGACAGCATCTTACTTTTATTTATTGAAAGTAGGATGCTATAATAAACAAATAAATAAAAGTACGTTGCTATTTTTTGCGTTTACTGAAAATTATAAACCACATTCCTATTAAAGTAATCAATGGATACGGATCGATCTTTCTTCAAAAGATAGACAAGACACAAAATCACAATGAACTCCTTGAAGTTTATTCCCATGTCATCATTTATATCACATTCCTCAAAAATATCTTTGATTTCCTCATCTGTAAAGTCTATTTTTAACTCACGGAAGCAATGATTCAGCTCCTTGGGATCAATGGAACCACTTTTATCTTCATCTACAAAATTCAAAGAAAGACATGGAAAAATAGTTTGTTTTTTTCAATCCCCAAAATACCCCTATACAGAAATCAGAAAAAAAAAAAAATGAAATGAAGAATCATTATTCTTGTGCTTACCAAATTGTTCAAATATAGCTTTGCACTTGCGTAGGCTTGCATCAATTTTTGGGAATTTTAGAATTATTGTATTGAAAGATTTCATGGAAGTTCCTTGAGATTCTCTGCTACGCATTGTTTTCAGAATTTTGGCTTCAAGTTTTGTTGTAGGTGCCGAAGTCATAGGTGATTCATCGCCCTTCGTCAACTTGCCGCCCATGGTCAAAGTAATATGGATGCTCCTGACATTTATGTTACAATCAAAGGAAAGGATTAAAATCTCTTATTGCGACTTGAAGAATTAGACATAATCAGTTGCTTAAAGTCTATAGTAGTTGGGTAATTCACTTTAATCTTAGATCTACTCTTCCCTGATGATCCAAATCTGGCACATCAAAACTGATGATCCAATTTGCTTAGATTTAGTTAGTAGGACCAGACTGTTTGCTAAAAGGCAAACAGATATTCAATTTTATGATCCAACTTGACGTAAAGTTACTTTGTTTTTGAAGCAGAAAGCATAATCCTAATAATAACATTATGAAACAGCATCTTCTCGGCCAAAAAATTCTTCATGAATCTATTCAGGAAAGAACAAAAAACCAAAGATTCTGATGCACTCATAGCCAAAACAATTGGACATTATTATATTGTAAAATTAACAATCTGATCGCCAATTTTGAAATTTAAACAGTAAACAGTTCTTACCGGAAGTACGAAGGCAGCTGAAACTCGAGTAGAACGAGGGTTTGTTGTTGTTGATGAATTAGGAAGTGAAAACGACCCAACCAGCCTGAATCAAAACGATAATATTATTAAGATGTAGATAACAGCAGTAACAAAGATCGATTTATAATAAACAGTTGTTGAAATCAAAGAGAATTTATTGGGGGACGTCGTGAAGTGTGCGTGTTGGATTTGAACTGAGAAAATGTCAACCTTGTTGCTTCTCAGATATTGAAATTGAAAGTTACGAGTTATGTGCTAGATTTGATTGATTTGTAAGAGTCGGTGGGATTTGGGAGAATCGAATATGGGGGGATTAGGATATACGGAGCTCCGGGTTTTGTTCATCCTGTCTCTTCCTTTCATTTTCGTGTTTAATTTATTAATTAGCGGATCAAATGTAATAAAAGTTTCAGAAAAAGACAAACTTAAATTTTTTAAGAAAATATCTGAAAAGTAATAAATGACTCATATGACCATCAAATTCGTAGGTATAGTATTATTGGCTGCGATTTTGTCGTCTGAGCTACAGTTTTGTCATTTTTTTTACTTGTCATTATTTTCATTTTGGATTGGCATTGATAGTTATAATTTCTTCTAATCTCATATGGGATTTCCTCTATGGGATTTCATCTTCTTATATTAGATTATAAAAGGTTCTAATGCATAAGGTTATGCATATATTAAACACTTGTATGACCTCATTTGTATGAAAATGAGGGTAAGTGTTGATTGTACAAGTACCCTTTTTTCCTTTTTTTTTTTTTTTTTATTTTTATTTTTATCCCTAGACTCAATATAATCAACAATTTATTTTTTGATTTGACATCATTTTGTTTTGTTTTTTTCCCTTGTTTTTTTGTTGTTTTTTCTTTTCTTTTACACGAATGGTCCCTATGGTATGGGGTAAATTACACGAATGGTCCCTATGGTATGAGGTAATTTGCGTGCTTGGTCCATAACTTATTTTTTTAACTCGGAAGGTCTCTATTGTTTGTTTTTGTTACGCGTTTGGTCTCTACTGTTTGTTTTTGTTACGCGTTTGGTCCATAAAGCCAAAGTAACACAAAAATGAAAAAAAAAGTCAAACTAAATGTCTTAGATAAAGGATTTAAAGCCAAAAGTTTTGATTTGATTTGAATAATCTTTATCTTTTTCTTTAATAATAAAGAAACTAATTTGACATAACTTTAACTTTATACGTTATATAAACGATTCGTTCGATTCAATTCAATTCAAAATTTGTCCCATTCATAACAACATTCACGAAATTGTCGATCGACATTCTTGTGACAAGTTTTCAAACTAACCTGATATGTATTTTATTTTTGATGGATAATTTTAGTTTATTCGTAAGTTGTTATATGTTATATTTATAGTGGAATTTTTTTAAACTGACCAAGTATATATTTATATTTGTTAGGTGTTTAGCAATCATGAAAATTTAACACAATGGGTGCAAGAAACAACACAGTCTCTTGAATATGTGGTTGTTATTAAAAGAACAAAGTCAAAAGGAAGTGGATATGTTTCAAAAATTATTTTTATGTGTGATATGGGTGGTGTACCTAGAGGTCCGGAGACGTCTACCAAAAATACAAGTTCCAGAAAAACAAATTGTCCATTCGAAAATTTTGCTTGTTACTATGAGTCGGATGATGTTTGGAGGTTAAAGGTTAAAAATGATGAACATAATCATAAACCTGCATTGTATATGGAGGGTCACCCATATGCAAGGCGATTAACCCCAAATGAATCAAAAATGGTTGAAGAAATGAAGATAAACAATGTCCCCTCACGGGATATTGTATCGACACTGAAGAGACAAAATTCCAAAAATGTTTCTACAATAAAAACAGTTTATATTGAGTGTTACAAATTTCGAATGGATGAGTGTGGAGACCGAAGTCAAATGCAAGTTGTCTTCGGATTTTTACATTCAAAAGGATATATATTTAACCATTGTGCAAATGATACAACCAATGCCTTGAAGATCTATTCTTTGTTCACCCAATGTCATTGGAGATATGTCGTGCATTTCCACAAGTTATGATGATGGATGACACCTACAAGACTAACAAATATATATTTTATTTTTAATTGTTTTGTATTTATTAATAGGGTAACATGCCTTTTTATGTTTTGTTATACTAATTATTTTTCTTTTATTAATAAGTATAACATGCCTTTTTTGGAGATTGTTGGTGTTACTTCAACAAACACAACATTTTCCATTGGTTTTAGGTTCATGGATAAAGAAAAAGAATCCAATTATATTTGGGCTTTAAATTGTCTTAAGGCCATAATCGACAGATATGATATCCCATGATAGAGAGATAACATTGATGAATGCATGTGAAAAAGTATTCCCATCGGCCATTCACATACTTTGTAGATGGCACATATCTCAAAGTATATTTACTAATTGCAGAGGACGTTACAAGGCAGATGCTGAGTGAAATTCCTTTTTAAGAGATTGGGATACTTTAATTAATTCATTAACATTGGCAACATATTTGAGAAATTATGTAAAAATTGAGTCAAAATCGACATATCATCCAGGTACTAAACAAGTTGTCGATTATCTCAATCGCGTCTGGTTGGACAAATACAAAGAAAAAATTGTATTCGCTTGGACTAATCAAGTTTTAAACTTTCACAACCACACTAACAATAGAGTTGAGAGCCAATACGCGAAGTTGAAAAAATTCTTGCGGACACAACATGCTAACTTAGAAATTTTTTTAATCGAATAAAAAAGGTAGTGACATCGCAACACACAATGATAAAAGATATTTTAGAAACAAAATGAACTAAGTTGATGCGTCGATACAACATACCCCATTTTAAAGGTTTGTGTGGAAATGTTTCACACCATGCGTCGGAAAAAAAATCAGACAAAAGTTGGACCGGCCTGACGCATATCAAATAACTGAGGACGATTGTGGTTGCCAATTGCGCCATAGCTGTGGGTTACCTTGTGCCCACGAAATTGCAATTTACTCACGTGCGAACCAAACGATACCATTATCGTCTATTGATAAATTTTGGCGTAAGCTTGATTTAATCAATGTCAACGTTACTGATGATGCTAATTTTGGTTTCGAAGAGGGTGTGGAATTGTTAAAAGAAAGCTACGCTGAACAGTCAAATGAACAGAAACGTATTTATGCCAGAAAATTGTGGGACATATTTTCACCATCAACAACTACAGTTGTTGATCCAAGTACTATTTTCTTTGATATATTAATTTGTATAATAATGTGCTAACAATTTACTTGTTTATTCAGATGTTCATAAAAATACTCGTGGACGTCCACGATTGAGCAAACAAAAATCCAAAAAGGTAGACCATAACACCTTACCCATATCAATGCCCACCCCTACCAATACTCGTAGACGTAGTTTTTCTACGAATAGAACATATAATATGGATACTAGTGACCTTGACTTAAATCAAGAACCAGAGAGGCATAACACGTATTCGTTTCGAGAACCTTCAATGTCTAACTCATACTTTAACCAAGATCAACCATTTAGCACGTACTCGTTTCGAGAACCTTCAATGTCCAACTCATACTTTAACCAAGATCAACCATTTTATACTTCAAACCCACTTATGAATGAAATTCCACATCAATTTCATCCATACACCCAGAACATTACAAATGTCGAAGGAGATGGAAATTGTGGATTTCGGTCTATAGCAGTTGCTCTTGGTCGTAGTGAACATGATTGGCTTCAAATTAGGTACGATCTATACAATGAGTTATTATCACACTATCAAGAGTACGCTATGATTTATGGTGATGTTGGTTTTTAAAATGCATAAGTCACTCGTTGAATTACTCTGGATCGGTTTTGCGGTATTGGAGTATTGGTTGGTTATGCCAGACACTGCTATACTCATTGCTAACAGATATGGTGTTATCGTTATTTATCTAAGCAAGCAAGGTTCTTCAACATGGTTCCCACATCGATATGGCCCGCAAGACATACCAAATCCTGCATATGTCGTTATAGCCCACGTTCACCTTAACCATTATATAATGGTTGATTTACAAGGAACATATCCAGTGCCTGATGTTTTGTCCAGGCTTCTCAGTACATACAGATCAAAACATTCGGCTGCATGGGAATCATTGTATAGTGCTCAACTAAATGCTTTCAATCCGCATAACACACCACACAATTGTAATACCGAACCAATTAATATCCTTGATAAATAAAGAAAAACTTTGTTTTTGTTCCATTTTATATAGTCGTTCAAATTTTACAATGCCGTCCGAATTTATAATGTCGTTCGAATTTTAAAATTTCATCCGAATTTTAAAATATTGTCCGAATTTATACGATTATCGAAATTTATAATAATAATAATAATAATAATAAGATTAAATAAAAAAATAATTAAAAACAACCAAAAGACAAAATAAGGAAGAAAAAACAACAAAAAACAAAAAAATAAAATTGAGGAGGGGGAGAGGGGGGGGGGGAATTGGAAAAAAAGTGAGGTACTTATAGCATTAGCCTTATACACTCTCACTTAACACATGAGAAAAAAATCTCAAATGGCCAAATGACATCTCCAATTTTGTCATGCCAAAATAAAAATAAAAAATGATTTTTATATATTTTTGAAGAAATCATAGCCGTAATGACGAAATTGTAGCATGTGAAGAATCACCTGCAATTTCGATAGCTATATGGGTCATTTCTTAATTTTTGACAATTTTTTAAAAAGTAGTTAGGAAATTTGACTAGATTAATTTTTTTCTCTAAAAGTTTGCGGAGGCACATAAATATGAGTTAGAGTAAATTACATGAATCGCCTCTCGTGCAAGCGCCAAAATGTACGTTCAATCCCTATTTTCCAAAATTAACACGGATCGTCCATTATATCTTTAAAAATTGCACGTTTTGTCCCTGTCACACATAAAATGACTATATTATCATTTTTTATTTCTTTTTTATTTATTTTTCAGCTATTTAAAATTTATTTCTTGTTTTTTATCTGAGATAATTGACTGGCCCAACAAACACCCAAACCCCCATCCCATATCTTTATTCCTCGGCTAATTCCAGGGGTGGTGAAGAAAGCTCATCGAAGACCTGAATAAGTTTTCCGGCGACCATCACTCAATGAAAAATCGTTGGATTCTAACACATATTTGTGACAACCCGAAAAATTATTGCCTTCTAGCCTTGTTAAGGGTCATTCTATTGGGTTTTAAGCCTAGTACACTTAATGAATGAGTGTTAGAATGTACCTGCTAGAGACTCTGTGCAACATTCAAGCCTTAAGACCACTAAAAAGGAGTTCACGGCCAAAGCACATGAGTTTACGACCATAAAGTCAAGGTTGG